TTAGCCTGCCATAAACCTACTGTGAATCTGGTTTACACTACAAAGATTTGTGCTCATCCCTGGGCCTTGTAGCAACAATGTCATTGCCTCTTCTCATTGGTATGGGGGACGTGGCAGGTTCTGCCATTTACTGGATGTGTGATGTGCGCGAGGCGAGCCACTTGGTCCTCATGAGCTGGTTTCCTCATGTGTGAACCAAGGATCTAAAAATATGTTTATTTCACTGGGGCGTTATTAGACTCACTGTGATAGCAACAAAAAGAACAGCTTAGTGTATTAAATGCTTATCAGGTCTAGGCCTGGTACTCATTGCTAAACATCCATTTTCACACTCAGTAACAAACAAGGATATATTGTAAATTGTCAAAAGTTACCTTCTTAGACTAACGTGAATAATATTTAAAAATGTGTATTGAACCAGGTTAATATTTTTCTCCCTGAAAATCAGACTGGGTATTCGGTGGGAATGAGCACTTTGAAAAGATTTCTGTGGGAAGGTGGATCCAGTCTGTTTCCCTCTCGGTCCAAGATAGCATCTTTCGAAGCGAAAACAATCCTCCCGAAATGGGGGCTGGCGAGTACAGGGAAGTGCTCCGGCACTCATGCTCAGTTGATTTCCAGATACATTAGCACACAGCCTTATTGACTACCACGTCCATTTGACCAGGCTCAGAGGGGTTTTTATTATCTGAAACGCCTGACTGCGTGGGCACGATGACAGGTGTGTCATGAGGGGAACAATAACCAGAAACAGATGCATGGAATATTCACTAATATGTCAGCAACTATGAAGCATGTCAGCGGTGTGCATCCTCACCAGAAAAAAAAAGATAGGAAAAGAAAGAACATTTATTTCCATGGAGCCAATTTCCATGCCAAACTGAGCATCTGTCTGGCTTTTGTGTTTGGTATAAACAGAACTCATACACACTCAAAAATAATGTCAAAAGTTCAAAGGGTGGAGAGTTGAGAATTCTCACGTGGGCAAATAAATGAGGTCTGCGGATTGGCTGGCCTTCACTCGGCTTTACATGATGCGTCTCCTTGGGGCCGGGTGATGTGTGGCTTTGATTCTCTGCCCTTGTACTTCCATAACCTGGTTTGGAATGTAGCCCAGTCCTAAGAGATTGGGGGTCACTCTGTCTTGATAGCGTAAGGTCAGAAAATAGAATGAAGCTCGGATATCTCAATTGAGATTTGAGTGTATAAAAGTATAAATCAAAAAAGCAAAATCCTTGAAGGGACACCTTGCAGCTGTCGCTACAAATGAAAGGTTTCAAAATAAGTAGATACAAGAATGCCGAGGCTAGTGCAACTAATAATTCCCCTCTAGTCCTACTTGAAGAATAGGAGAGTACAATTGAAGATGGAAAAGTAAAGAATACACATTATGCTGGTCTGAATCTCTTTGTAAATTTTGTATCATTTCAAGGACAATATTTAGAGTATTTTAAAAAAATAAATCCCCTCCTTCAGGTGCTTTTTTTTGCAGGATGCAAATTAGAAACGCTACAGAGCAATGTAAGTAAACGTCAGAATTTATGGGGTTATTTGTGTTTTGTTCTTGGAAAATCTGAATAATCTCAAAGTTGAGTCATTCAGGAAGGAAGGAAAAGAAGTAAGTGGATTTTGTCTGCCTTTACTCCTAAATGCCACTGTCTCATTTGGCTGTAGGATATTCATGATTTTATGTTTATTTAAACAGACATATTTCTAGTTTATGGGCATATTCCAGAATAGAACTGCATGTTGCTTGGAGTGAAATTCTTATGGGCAAACACCTGATCCCCTTTAATAAAAGATAAAAGGGAAATGATTCTCTTGCCATTCAAAGACCTTACGGTGCCTTGCTCGTAGACACAACCTTGTTATTTGACCTTTCTAACCAGTAAAGTATCCCATGTAATCAACAGTGGTAAAGTGATTATAAAGGAATCATCTAGCTGCCAATTAAAATCTACTGTAGCAGAACTTGTTTGAATCCAGGAGTGTTCTAAGATTATAATTACCAAGCAAGAATTAGGAGTTGCAGAGGTGTATGTGGTGGATGTTGAGAATTGCCATTGACATATCGGAGTCACTCTTCTCTAAAATATTTTCAAGGCAAAGTTTTCTCAGAACCCTGCTTTAAAGCTATGATTTACCTTCATGGTCAAAAAAAGTATTTCGATCTTCAGAACTCTCATCCTCAATGCATTTATTTTTCAAGTTATTTTTTCTTGTTTGGAGGAAGACAGTCGATCATAGCTATACAATTGAATTTGTGTATGTACCAGCTAAGTCAACGTTTCCAAAGTGTTTTCTGGACAAGACAGATCCCAAAGAATGTTCGTAAATTTTAGGGGGCTAAAGAGACCCTGAGTCGAGACAATTTGAGAAATACTGAACGAAACGTAATCAAAGAGTTGCATTAAATGTAGAACTTCCCAGAATCTTTACTGTGCAGAGTAGCATGTGATTTCTCAGTGGAGGATGTCCTTATGCTGTTTCTCCTTTTTTTATTTATAAATCTCTTTTTCTGAGACTGCCTTTACTGATCTAATGCTCCAAGGAACTTCTTTAGGAAATGCTTTGCTAGGTGAAGTGTCTACTGGATGAAGAAAACGCTACTTTTTAAGATGGCTAATGTCAGGAGCAAGTGACATTGAAGTTCAGATTAGCTTCACTGGCCCATGATTCTATTCAAACCAAACCAAAAGTTAAAAAAAAAAAAAAATCCCCAAAACTGTTATGTACTGGAAATGGAAAAGAGTAAGAAAAAAAAAGGCTTTAAAACATGTTAAGTAATCTCTTCAGCAAACACCCACCAATAACTTCATAAATCATTTAAAATGTGACAAGAAAAGAGAACCTGATCGAATGACTGTCCAAATAATTATAGTGCATTCTTCAACCTTTTCTCATTGAAATCATATTGTCATTTGAGTAGTCATCCTGACACAACTAATTGTTGCTATCCAAGGAAAAGGAAAAAAAGCCTCAAAATGTAGTTTAACCAATTCTCGCCATCATAAGTAATCATGTGAAAGAGAGAGAGTGGAGAATGGAAGTTTAAGTATTTTCCTCTCTAACTTTCCCTCTCTGGTTCTCCTATACGGGTTTCTCTGCATCCCTCATGTCTGTCTCCCCTCTTCCCGCTAACCTCTCCTGCCTCCCTCCGTCTGTCTCTTTGACCCACAGTTGTGGCCTTCTGTCTCATCAAAGAGAACCCGCATGGTGGAAACCAACTAAGAAAGGCAGCCTGAGTTGTGGTAAAGGCTCACGAGTCATGTGGGTCCTGCCTAGCCCTGCCATCTAGGGCTGGAACCTTGACCAGTTAGGTACTCTGTCTTCCTTGTCACCATTTCTTCCACCGTAAGATACTGGTCTTGGACCTGATGGCATCTGGAGTCCCTTTGAGCCCCAGGGGCATGTGGTTCTAATTGTTTTTTGTTTATTTTCGTTCCAAGTCTCCTACAGGAAGCAAAGCAGAGAAATCTGCAGTCCTGAGGCAACATCAGAGTTATCAATAGTTGGCTAACTATGCTTAGCCTTGACCTTAAAAGAAACGACATTGAATCAAAGAGGGGAATAGTCAAATCCACCTGTGAGAAATGGGATGACTTTCTGAATATGTGTGTTCTTGAATTCTGATCATTGCCTGCAAGACAATGTGAACTTCTAATCCGGGGCTCCTTCACGGACAGCTCCAAATCAAGCCCCTTGTACTAATCATTTTCATAACTGTAATTGAGGAATTAACTGGAATATCCACCTGGGTTCCTCTGCAGTGAGGGTGTTGAAAGAACTGGCCTTTTCACCATTTTCTTTCAAAGGGGAAGGAAATTGCACACTGTGCATGCTCACATCCAGGAGACAGGTATTAAATCGCTCCTGAAACGGAAGCACTTGACTCTGATCGTTGCTTTTCTCCACGGTTATTTCTTAAACGCAACCTCTGTTTACATGTAATCCCAAATCAAGGAAAATGAAAACACCTCATTGGAAGTAAAATTGCCTAAATATTTCGACACAAGCACAATTTGCTTTTGCCTGAATTCAGGCTGGCTTCCCTGTCCTGGCTGGTTACGAGATTCTTTCAGGGAACGTGTTTCAGAGGATGAGAATGAGGCCAGTGGTTGCTGATGTTAAAAGGACATGGCATCTGCACAAGCCTGAGAGGGGGCTGGTTGCACAAATTAAAGTCAAACACATCACAGCCCGATTAGCAGACATGGACTTGAGTGTGTTGTCTAGAATTTTTTTCCCTCCAAGTAACAGTGAGGCAATTAAAAAAAAAAGGAAGGCAACTCCATTTGTTTCCTATCATCCTTTCTTCTCACTTTTCCTAGTCCTTGTTTCTCCTTCTGTTTATCTGGGAAAACAAGTTACAGTTGAATGCAAGAAAAAATTAAATGTAGGTAGCTATTTAATCTTTCTTTGACTTGTGCTGGTCAACGAGAATTTTCCCCCAAATGTAGCTTGAAAATATAAAGTCATGACGGAAAAAAAACGTGCACACATACTGTGTTGGAACAAAACTAGTTCTCTTACTGCCAAAAATCAGAAAAATAATATGTTGCCTTTTTCTTTAAGCATTTAGAATTTGATGAAGTCACCTTTTCATGTACTAGAAGATTCCTCTCAATGGGTGAGTTCACCCATGCAGAGCTTTAATTACTTGATGTTTTAAAAGAATTCTTTATTATGTTGAGGAGAGAAAGAGGGAAGCAGAAGTGAAGGCAAGACATTTGTGTGGGAGAAGTCTAAAGCTGTATGTGGGAGGCAGAGAGTTGAAAACACACGCCTTTAATGAACGAAATTTTCATTCTCCCAGGAGGGAGCTGTTTTGCAAAGGTTTCATGGCCTCCTCCCAGGGCAGCGGGGACAATTCCATGAGGCAGTAGGGTTGTGAGTTGAGCTTGCAAAACCAGTAGCCATTGGTTTAAACCAAGCCAGAGGACAAATCCAATAAAAATGTGTTGTTTCATTTCTTTGTTTCCCACATTAATTTGTCTCAGGGAACATGGAGTGAAGGGCTCACAGACCTGGTACAAGGAGTTACAACAGACACTCGGAGGAACTGAAGTGGCTTCCTGCACTCCTTCCGGCCTGAAACTTCCTTTGTTCCTGTAATCTCAAAACAGCTGTTTCCTCTGGAATCACAAACCCCAGCTGGCAGAGCCTCTGCCTCCTGGATCCTGCTGCACATAATGTACGTCGAATCTGAATGTTGATATGAAATGTTCTTCTTTTTCCCATCCTCCTCCCCAGCCAACCCCACCCTCAGCCCTGTATTCACTTTCACCTTCACAGGGAGAGCAGTTAGAAAAAAGTGACACAGGCATTTCAGATTCAGACCTTCCAAATGGCGAAGTAAATGCTCGCAGATATTTAGAATCTCAGATATCTAGTTTGGAAACATGTCCAGAAACCTCCTTTGTGAGACAGAAATTGATGGTTGGCATCACTTTCCCAGCTTGCTTTTAGAAATCAGTACATTAAAAAAAATTATTTTATTGAGGTCGTATTGGCTTATAACATTGTGCAAATTTCAGGTGTACATTATTATATATCAGTTTCTGGCTAGACTACATCAGAAATCAGTACATTTTAACAAACATTAATGTATAAGCTGCTCGGGCAGGAACTGGGGGCTAACAATGCAGGTGACGAACAGTAAGAGCTAGTACTTCCTCAAGAAATTCACAATTTTGTTGGTTGATATCTTCGTTGAGACCTTTGGGGTAAAACATAAGGAAAAGCCTAGTTGCCACTCATGGGAGAGTTTACTAACAAGTTTGAAAGAAAAGACGTATGGAAAAAATGAAGTAGAGGAAAATGTAAAGCCATCTCTGAATCATTGTGAAATAATGGAGTGTTATCGTACGCCTTTATGTGTTGATGGAACGTGGGGTAAGAAAAAGTCGGAAGTGTCTGTGTTTTGGGGAATGGAAGGTGGGAGGGATGAGTCAAGGAAAGCCCATGGGTGGAGGTGTTCTGTCTGAGCGAGTTGGAAAGGAAGTCAAGACAATGGGAGATGGCTTGAATAGAAGCCCAGAGCGGGAGACGCAAGCTGTGGATTGAGGATAGAGCTTAGAACTCATATGGGCTGCTGCCTCATTAACCACAGGGCACAAGGAATCCCAGAGAAAGATGAACCTTGCTCCAGGTCACAGAGGGCTCAGCAGCAAGCAGGGCTGCAGGCAGAACTGGAGACGACACCAGGCTGCCTCTGGCTTGTGCCTCTCTCCCGTCTGTGTGGGTGATCTCATGTAGTGGACTGGCGAGAGGCTTAAACCTCAGAGTCAGAAGAGAGGATGGGTTCAGAGCTTAGCTCTGCCACTTATCAGCCATATGACCTTAGGCAAGTCATTCGATACTCTAAAAAGCCTCAGCTTTTCTTACCACAAGCTGGAAATAAATTGCATCTTACTCCTTAGGCTATGATGATGATTAATCCAGGACTTAATCTAATAGCTGTACAATTCAATAAATGTTTGCTTTATTATAATAGTAATACAAATTCTTATTTTTAAGGAGTAGGGTATATTTAAGTTGGTAGGAGATTGACTTAGCTAGAGTCAATATGTTCTCTGAAAAAATGCAAAGAACTTTAGGCAGATAAAGTCATCAAAGCGATTTTAAAGAGCAGTTGATAACAGACAATGCTTAAAATGAACAAAAGAACTTTTTGGTACCTTGTTTTATCTTATAAAATGTTCTCTCCAAGTGTGAATTTTCTTAACAATTCTTAAACAAAAATTAACACCTAGTGAATAATTGATGCTTAAATGTACTTGCTATAATTGATGGAAATAACCTATGAGTATAGAGTATGGTTATTAAGAGTGTGGACAGTTGAGCCAGACTGCCTGGCATTAGAACCCAGCTTTGCTGCTTCAGAGCTCTGAGACCCTGGGCAGGGTCTCAACCCTACTGAGCCTCAGTTATCTTACCTGCAAAACAAAGACAAGGTTGTGGAGAAGATTGAGTCAGTTAATATATGCTAATGTCTTTGAACCGTTCCTGAAACACTGATGTCAGATAGTATTATGACTAATAATCCTTTCATTACATAAATAACAAAATAAAAATAGCAAACATAATATAAAATAATAAAAATAAAAATAATAAAATAAAAATAATTACTAATTGCTAAATAAGTAAATAGTAAATACAAATATCACAAGGAGAAGTTCTTTGGGAGAAAGCATAGATAACTTATGAAGTTTTGGACTACTCTTTCTGCTATTTATTTTGGGAAATACTCTAAATTATTCATCTGCCAATATCTAGATTTTACTACCTACCAGGTGACAGCGATCACAATGAGAGGCTCAATGCTTGGGGTGAAATAATCAGCCTTATAAAGGTTGAAATTGAAATGCCAAGCCTGTAAGTACTTCACATTTTATAGTGCCTGGAACTACTTTTGTGTTTGATTTGTGTCAATTCTCATACTCATGGTATCCATTGTGGTTTGGAAGGGATTTCACCCAAACTCTCTGTAAGCCGTATGTAGTGGGGCTGCTTCTTTGGGCTTTGCCACAGCAGTGGTAAGACATCCACCCAAGCCAGTGTTTCTCCAACTGACATCCTTGGACCAGCAGGGTCAGCATCAGCTGGGAGCTTATTAGAAATGCAAAGTTCTCGGCACCCCCTCACGTGCTGCGTGGGGAACTCTGAGGTGGGCCCAGCCATCTGTGCTTTAACAAACTCTCCCAGGAATTCTGATGCCTGCTCAGTCTGAGGACCACCGTGGTAAGTCAATATAAATATCAGAGTTGGCATAAATCAGGCATTAAACATAGTGATTACGACTGCTGCTGGACACTATCAGAGGAGTGCCTACATTTTTTCCCCTCCACTCCATTCTCTATTTGTACCTCCCTCTGCTGACACATTCTTCCTTTTAGATGTGTTAATATTACTAACCAGGCCATGATGAAGTGACTTTCCCCTGAGCCTCAAAGTCATTTCTGTCACCTCCTATTATATGTTGATTTAATTAGTTTAACCCTTGGAAGGCAATCTGATTTTCAACTTCTTAAATTGCACCCCCGTCCTTAATTTACTCCCAAGATTACTTCCAGTGACTATAATGCTCATTTTAAGAAGACCACACTCTTATGGGTGTTTGGCAATGATTGGTTTAGTCCCTAGAGTGGTTTAATAGGGAGGACATGTTTAACTAAAATGCAGATGCCTGGATCTTGCTGTTTAAAGAATGTTTGCCACTAGAGAAGCTCTGGACGTCCTGGAAGAGGGAGTGACAGGAAACTAGAGGAATAGGCTCAAGAAGTGAACCTGGAAAAAAGATTTCAAAGTGGGACTGGAATTCTGCAGCAGGAATGGAATTTAAGGGCCCATGGACATCTGAGGACATGGTAGTGACAATGCTGGGCAAATTTCACATGTGCTGTACTAAGTTGAAGATAGGAGTAAACAGATATATTCATCCATCCATCCATCCAACAAATATCTATCGAGCATATACTTCATGCCAGACATTGCTGTGTAGTGGACCAACAGAGAAAAATATCTGCCCTAGTGAGGTTTTCCTTGTAGTGAGGGACACAAATGAAAAAAAAGATGAGATATATGAAATGATTAATGGTGATATTTTTAATGGTGTAAACTAAAGCAGAGAATGGAAATTGGTGGAGCCTAAGCAGGAGGGGCTCAATTTTAAATCAGGTGGTCAGGGAAGGTCTCACTGAGAATATGACATTTGGGAAATGATGCTGGGGAAGAGCTTTCCCCTGACAGGGAACAGCAAGTGCAAGTGCCCGGAGGTGAGGGTATGTCTGGTTTCTTCAAGGTTCAGCAAGAGGTCTAGTGCAGGGAGAATGGAGTGATCCAGTAGGAGATGACGTAACAGGACAAAAGATGTCTACATCCCATGGAGCCTTGAAGACGACTGAGAGGAGCTTTTCTTTTACTCTAAAAGATCTAATGCACACAGTCTGGTAATCCAATAACTTATCCCTCCCACAGAAGGGAGGATGTCATACGAATGTTTCTGGGAGCCAGTGGACTAAGTGGGAAGGATTCTCTGCTGAAGGATGAAACAACTTACAAAAGGAGGGAAGAGAAGATAGTCAGTGGGAAAAAGAAGAAAATGGTGACTGTTGATTTGTGGTGGAACAGAGCCTAGGGCATGTGTCAATCAGCCCAAAGAAAACAGAACTTCCCCCCATCTTTGCTTCAGCTAAGACTGCTCTCAGACCATGGTGTGGACTCACGGGGGAGAAGGAAACTCGGCAGTTAACTGAACCTTGGGAATATGTCTCCGTTCCTTCCTCTCTTCACCATTTTCACTGTCGCTGCCTCAGAGCAGATTCCTCATCTCTTTTGTGGACTCTCTCACCCACCTGGGGACTGTTTCTCCCTCCTTCAGTCTCACCCGCCAAGCTTCTGGTCCTTTTTTTGCGCAACACCTGCATGGTGAGCTTTCTAAACCACAAATCCAACCGAGGCTCCCTTCTGCTTGAAAACTTTCCCAGCTCTCAGGCCCCGAACGAAGTCAGCATGACATTTATGATCCATCTCTGCTTCTCATCGCTCCCTCTCCTCCCTGAATAGCACTCTGCTCTCATCACTCAGGACGCGCCCCTTTCCCTGGGACTGCTGTCTGTTCTGCAGCGTCTTCCTGACTTCTAGAGGAGTTTCTACTCTCTTCTCTCTTCCCACCTGTCCGTGGGTACTTTATTACGGCATTTAACCCTTTACATGAGTTGTATAGATTTGTTTGAGCTCTTCCTTTCCCCTCCAGGCTTATGGGTCTTTATGGTCCCAATATTCACACATTGTTGGCATAAAATACGTGCTCAGTAAATTTTTGTTAAATAAGTAAGTGAATTCAAATCATTTGGGCTGCTGATCAAACGGATTCATCACTTTCTTATGGGATTTCTTGCCAGTCTGCACATTTCTAGTAATTACTATATATTTACTGTCTAATAGTTGGGAATAAATACACATTATATCATTTCTCTAAACAACATAGCTAAATCAGGTCAGTTTAATGCAATCTATAAATGACAAATTTGCAAAATGCGTCTCTCTATAAACCTAATTTGAGACAACTACTGGCATAAACTTAATGAAGTTTAAAAATAAAAAGAACTTCAAAGTGGCCTTGTTTCCCCAGAGGGAAAGTTACAGAATTGCATGCAATAATCTCTATTTTCTTCTAAGTGATGAATTTGAGCATCTTGACAATTGCGGGAAAAATAAATTGAGAAAGGCAGAACCAGAGTGAAAAAGAATGGGTCATATTGAGTTTCCATGTTTACGCCAGCCATGGCAAGGCTGCCCCACTGCTGGCTACAGAGGAGATAGTATCTTAAGGAGACCTTGGGGAAGATCCTTACCAGCATGGTTGCAACCATAAGAAAAGATATAAAAGAAGAAATACAAGTAATTTTATTCATGTATAATTGCACAAATGTTAAAATTTCTATTCCCTTTCTATTACTGCCAGTATGACAAAATAAAATACTATATACCATTTTATTTAAAAAATTCCATACTACCTAAATAAAACATAAGATGTAACAAGTACATCAACTTTGGTTTTTTCTTTATTGTGTAGACTGTTAATGATTCCAGAGGGAAACTTCTAGAAACAACGTGAGAGATTATCGCTGTTAACTCTCTAAACAAGGTATACATTGTTCTATCTCTGTATAGCTACTAGAAAAAAAACCCCTATTTTGAAAAAGAAAAATCACATGATTAGTAGCAAAATCTTTACTGAATTACTCTAACCATAGGTTTTTAGTTTAAAGCTATCGGCCTGTTCAAAATTGAAATAAAATTACTGGCATATTATCAGGAACTGTCCTTTATTTTGCATTGAAACCCCCTCTTCCAACACAGATCTCTTCTCCGGTAATACCCGTGAGAATCATAGTGTCATTTTATAAACAAGGAAATGGTAATGCTAAGAAAGTTTGAAAATTCCACACCCACTAAACAGAGCAGCTCAGATTCAAACCTAGGAAGCCTGCCTTTAAACCCAAGCTCCATAGATGACTCCAGATCTGACACATGCATGGCACATGACCATAGGCCATCCGATATTCAACAAAATCTGTATGGTTCCTACTGTGGGCTGGGCATTGTGCTGGGAACGACACAGATGTAAGCACCACAGAGGTCCTCTCTTCTGTGGAGATTTTCCCTTCATCCGTGGCAGACAGCATCAATTAATAGTGAGCCTCTTTGCCTCCTAACCAGGATGTGGTCACTCTCCTCAGCACAGCATCACTGCCAAGCAGCCAGAGAGGGCACTATTTGCCATATCCAGACCACCACAGATAAATAGGTCAAGGACATTATCCTCTTCTATTCAGGATAGTACTTATGGATAAGTCACCCCCTGCCTAATTATGCCTTCTGAAATAACAGACTACCTCTCCCATTTCTTCCTTCTCCCTTTCTAGGTGCTGCGCTGAAGGTAGAGTGTTGAACCCGGTTCCTTTTCTCGGTTGGGCAGGGTCAAAGTGCCAACAGTGAAGAATCCAGTCTGGGAAATCACAGTGCCAGTTATACCTGCAGTCATGGAAAAGGATGACAACAAGGAGACACAGAGATTTTTGAGTTTGAAGTACCTTTTCAGACACCTGCAGATTCAACTGGAGGCCGTGGGTTCACAACGATGCTGCTTTTTCATCTGCTCTGAACTTGCTCTTACACAGGCGTTGATAAAAACAGGGCATACAGGAAATAACATGGATTTAGGAACCTTGCAGACCTGGTTTGTGACATATATGTCAACTCTGTTGTCTTATGCAATTTACTTGACTTGTGTGAGCCTCGCTTTTTATTGGCAAGTGAAGATCATAACCTAGTTTGCTTTGCTGCTATGAGGGTTGAATGTCTCAAAAAATACAATGTTCCCAATACAGTGTAATATCCTTGTTCTTGTCTCACTTTCCATAGAGAGAGGAAACTCCCCTGCTGGACCCCCCCCAGAGGCACCAATGGGTTTTCTACAGATCTCAATATAACCCAACTTTCTCTTATTTCCATAGTTACTTACCTTTTCCACAAGTACATCCTTCTCTTGGGTTACTGGCATTTTGAAAATAGGCTATTCCAAGATGCATTTCCCTTTCCTGTACTTGAAGTGGTCCTAATCCACACCAAAGTGGTCCCAATCTGAGTGGTCCTCCATCTTTAGAAGATGGCACCATATTCCATCTTGCCTTTCCAAATATTTATTACCAATAAGGTTGCAGAAGGTTAAATAGCTTGAAAAAGTTAGAATCTATTGTCATAGGTGCTGGTATACTTAAGGCTATGAGAGGAAGACAGAGAGGGAAATTGCATTCGTTAAATATGAGACAGGGTGTTTTTCCATAAATTCACCCTCTCATCAACCCTGTGAAGTAGATAAAGCCCTTAGAATTAAGTATGACTACACATAATTAACTCTTTATCCCCCAAACATTAGGGGCCAAAGCAAGATAAAAGTTTATTTCTCATTCATGTAAAAGAATTCAGAAGGGCAGAAAACATGATGATGTCATAGGCATCATTCAATCTTGATGTCCCAAAATCCTTAGCATATCTCCTCCTAGTTCAATATGGCTGCTTAAGCTCCAGCTATCACACCTATATTCTAAGCAGAATGAATAGAGAAAAAATAAAGGCTATATCCTCTTTCTTTTAAGAGTGTTTCCCGGCTGTGTGACCTCTGGCTTCCTTTTATATCTTTTGCTGGAACTTAGTCTCATAGTCTCCTCTAGCTACAAGGGATTCTGAAAAAATGTAGTCTTTTGGCTGGGAAACACATGCTCCGAGAGATGGGGAGAAAGGACATTATGCACAGCTATAAGTGCCTGCTGCAGTAGGTGTCGTTGTCCCCCACTTTTCACACGAGAGGAAACTGAGGCTCAATGAGTTTAAGTATGTTCTGGTTATCTATTGCCCAATGTATTCTGCTTATCTATCTATTACTTAGTGACTTAAAACAATAAACATTTTGTTGCACTCAAGATTTTGTGGGTCAAGAATTTGGTGGGATTCCACACAAATGGCTCCTCAGAGCACTGCAATGACTATGGCCTCATCTGGAGTGGCTTGAAGAGAAAAATATGACTGGGATGACTTGACTGGAGCCAGATGTCTGAGACCTCATTTCTGGCATCAGTTGGATTCCTCAGTTCTTTTGTATATTGGTCCAAGACGGCTTATTCACTCTCTTGCCTGGCATGGCATCTTAGCTAGGACAGCTGGAGCAACTGGGGCTGGCCGGGCATCTATCTTTCTCCATGGGACTTTTCCACATGGCTAGCTGGGCTTCCCCACAGCATGGCAGTCCTTGGGCATTGAATTTCTTCCAATGGTGTCTGACTTGTTCCAGAAAGTGTGTTCCAAGAGACCAAGGCAGAAAGCTCCTTATAACTAGCCTTGGAAGTCGTACTTCTGCCACAACTCACTAAGGACAGTCCAGATTTAAGAGATGGGTAATTAAACTTCACATCTCATTGGGAGGAATGGAAAAAGCTTTGCAGCCATATTTAATCTACCCCAAAGTGATTGCTTAAGAACGCACAGCTAGAAAGCCAGCTGGCCAGCCCTGAAACAGTAGACTTCTCTTTGTACTACCTGGGTCCAAGCAGCAGGTCTTGATGCTTTTAAACAGCCAATTACATAAGTTGATTTTTTTTGAAGCATGAAAGATGGTAGCTGGCTATGGACCAGCAGGAGGTGGTAAAAATTTGTGCCAACAGTATCGTTGTCACATGCATAGACTCTAGCCCTCAGTGGAGTGAGCCCTGGGGTTTGGCACTCAGCTCTTTAGACTGAGTCTTGTACTAAATGTAGCCGATACTATTTTTTTATCCCCTCCCCCAAACCCCCTCCTTCAGCCCCCTTCCAGCTAAACAACTGGGCTGCTGCTCCGCTGTCTCTTTCATATTTGTAAAGACTCTCTCAGGTCTGGGAAATCAGATTGTCTCATTTAAATTTAATTTGAATTTCTGTTTGAAGAATCAACCTGAGACATCAAAGAGAATCCAAAAAATGCACTACAAAATAAATGATCAAATGACTTCTGAAAACATTGCACTTTTATATCTGGAAATATTGGATCAAAACGCCAATTTCTTTTATTGTTAAAATTAAAGACAGACTTAAAAGAAACTGCCATGTAAGTCTGACACTGCATTTAACCAACAGACAAACTGTTATAACCTGGTAGGGTTATTGCCATCCTACACGCATTCTCTCTCTAATTCATAATGAGTCAGAGTCTCCCAGTTGCTAAGCTTCAACTTGATTTCACATTAGTTTTCTTCAAGTCATAAAAATGTTGTTTTGAGTACAGGTCACAGCTGCCTAATTTACAATCTGGGAATAATGAAATGGCCAGTTTATCTGGTCAAAACAGACTGAATTTTGTGTTGAAATGTGGCCTTCAAGAAACTAACTTCTCAAACAAAAATTTCACCTTAATTATTTGTGCATTTAAATTTTGCAGATCTGAAGCCTCTTCCCTCTATTTTTACATATTTAAACCTTAGAAGGTCCCGGGCTATAGTGAATCAGCATTTCCTGTGGGACCTAGTAGGTGCATGGGATCACGCCCAAGAGGAAAATGGCATGAGGTCTGCCTTCAAGGCTGCAAACAGACTCTACCAAGAGAGAACGAGCAGAGCACCTCGCGATGAATGGGTGATCAGGGCTTGTCCCAGCAAGAATTTGACGGGCGATCAAAAGCTTGAATGAGTGATGTCTTGAGTTATCAAGAACTAAAAGTCCAAACTAATGGTAGAGAGGTCATGGGTCCTTGAGACAAGAAAAGTCAGCCAAGACTCATGGTCGAGAAGAAAGCCCACCTTTTCCAGCTGGGCTGAGTGGGGATGATTAGCTTGTTTTCTATTGACTACATAGGACTGGGTTGGAAGAATCAATAATGAAGAATTAAAATCAAGAATTAAAGAAAAAAATTAAAGGAGAAGGAAGGGGCTGTGGCATGTTGGGGGAAAAACAGCAATTCCTCCTGGGTCTGGGGAGTCGGCTCTTACATTTTTAAGCAAACCAACTGATGGACCTTTGGCCAGCTCCCAGTCCCCTCTCTCTTGTGCTAAGGAGTTGAAGGAGAGAGTTCTCCTAAAGACAATTGAATTTGTTTAATAGAATCATAGCGATGTGAAATCTGTCCCTTGGCAATACAGTTTGGGTTTCAGAATAACTGGAGAGAGGAGTAAGACGAGTGACAAAGGGGGGGGGGGCATCCTGGTAGGGAGAGTAAAGCCCTCGAACAAAACAGCAAGGAGTGCTCCAAGAGAAAGTGGCCCTAGAGAAGCTTCTGGAAGCAGGCAGCTTTGCGTGCTCTAATACTCAAGTTTATCTTGATTCCTATGGTGCTCTGTGCTGATGCCCCTCTGCCTTGTGCCCTCACCCCCACCAGGTCACACAGATAGGCTCGTAATAGTGCTATTTGGGGAGAGTGGAGAAAAGCGGACTTTCTGTGCTTGGGGTAAGGAAGAGGGAGTCCCTGCGGACTGCAAGCCCGGGAGGTGACATGCTAGTTATTACCGAGGCTACAGGAGCTAAGCATGTCGCAGTGTGGACCACGCAGAGACGTGAGCCGAACATTTATCCCATCCCCACAGCCAAGACCAGAGGAAGTTGATCCCTCAAGTGTGCGTGTATGTTAGTACTGAGTGAAAGAGCATTGGGGGGTGGAGTCAGACCCTGCATTTGCATGGATATGAGCTAGTCAGGATTCCAGCTCTCAGATTGCGCATTTATACATTTTAAAGAAGGCAACAATATCCAAGTGGATGCCAGAGTGGTTAACAGCCGGCTTTCCTCTACAAGAAACATCTCCATGCTTCTCTCTGCCAGTTGTCACTCTCTGTTCAAAAGCCCCTGGTCCACTCCTCTTCTGCGAGCCGGCTTGGTCCCTGCAGAATGTTGTAAGGGATTCGTCTGGTTCTCTTTTTAATAAGTCCAGTAATAGGACTTTCCACCATTCCTCTTGGGATATATATTTTTTTCTATTTCTATGTTACGAACTGACTGTATGGATTTTGAAAGTTGTTATTTTAATTGATCAGTCAAGCAAAGAGAACTATCTGCCAGCCCTGCCTCAGTAGAATCTGAGATTGTTCCGAAATTAGAAAAATTTCCAAGTGAAAGAAGTGATGGCGAAGTGACAGTGAGTGTGGGAGATCACAAATGCCTGCCTGGCCCCAGTTGCATTTATCTCTGACTCTTACTCCCACTAGATTTCAAAAATATTGTATAACCTAAGTATCTTCTCTTTCTAAAGACCACAAAAAATGGAGTATTTTTCTAACTGAAGGCAGAAATTATGGTTTGTGAAATCTACTGATTTTGATATGTTCAGTCAACGTGGCTTTCAACTCTGGCCCCTTGGCCTCTGCCTCAGATAAGATCTTCAGTGCCCGGCTTCTCCAGGTTCCAATGCTCCATACTGCTGGCAAAACTATTTTTCTAAAACACAGATCATGCCATTTCTTTGCTCAAAATGCCCAATGGCCATCTATTTCCCTCCAGAATCTGGTTGCTTGTACCAGCCCCCAACCTGCCATCGTTAAACAGGTTAACCATGTAGGAACCTTTAAGAGTGGACGGGTCATCCTTCTCCAACTCCAACTTGATCTTTTGTTCCTCCTCGCCTTTGTACTGCATTTCTCACCCTGTTCTACTTACCACTGCTATTCAACCTTCAGTTCCAGGACAAAAATCTTACCTCTTCTGTTCTTTTATCAAAACATTTACCAAACAAATTATTAATGAATATTTCCTATGAGCTATGCATTGGGATATATTTTTTAAGACGATGTAAACATACTTAATGGTTATTAAAGGGACACAAAAATATATTCTGTCTTCAAAGACTTGCCTTGTAAGAGAGAAAAAAGAATAAACTATTTTCATAACTATTGTATCGTTTTTATGATATTGATTTGAGGAAAACGAGCAATGACATGGTGCCCAGCCTTTAGTATGCAAAAAAATGAAAAACCCAAAAGGGTAAACCAAGCAAAAATACTTAGTTCTCTGAGGTTATAGTTTCACAGAATTTCAATAAATAAAATAAAATTATAATTTTATTTTGTTATTGTTTGCTCTATATACTATTATACAATTTTTTAAACTAATTTAATGC